GTTTTGTCCGCTTGGCTATTATATAGTCTCCTCCTAAATATAATTTCTGGATGTATATATTCTGACCAAAACTATTCAAATTCGATTGCTCTATAGTACTGTTTAGAAGAAAAAAACTGTTTATGAGAACATGCATGATTGAGAACAAATGAATTTGGGTTGCATGTGAGCAATCTTTTGTACTTTTGAATTTCATCTTTAATCCTAATTTCATTGGAGAAACCAAGTCCTATAATTTATGTTCCCTCCTTTTGACCAACTCTCATTTTTTCTCGTTTAGTTTTATATTCTTATTCCAATCGTGATGCATTGAATCTTGTTTACATTTTACGTTCTTCTTCCATTCTACGGTGAAAAATAAGAATATAGAATGTAATTGACGGACAATATATTTATACGAACCCTAGTTAATTAGGGTTTAGGTCAAGAATCCTAATTAAGCCCTCTGGTCAATCACTGCCATTTTCACACTCAACACTGCGAACGTGAATTCGACATTTGATAAAGATACCATTCTCGACCCTTGTATATATTTTTTTTTTGTCGTATACAATTCACACACATAATACCAGATTTAAACTCGAGATTTTTTTTTTTTGGTCACGAAGTCGAGATTATATGCGGCGACACTAGTACAAACCACTACGTACGTAACATATCCGGTTATACGTAATTCAATTTCCATCTAGCAAATGGATTTTGCTAATTCCAGTTCTTAAGTTTGTCAGTTATATGGAAATGGAAGGGTGTTTTATAATGTTTTAGTTTCAAATATGGACCGACTTACATTTCTCTTATAATCTTATTGATTTTTCAATGTCGATTATATAAATAATTTGATGCTCAATTTACCCGTGGGTTTGGACCTCTAAGAGCATCATTTGGTGACACTTTAATAGTGTAAAAATGATTAAAAAATTATTTAATGAAATGAACTTTCGATGTCTATGAAAACGTTTTTTGGGATGAACTTGTTGAACCTTTTTCTTAGATGTCAAACTTAATTTAATTTTAAAAAATTACTTAAGACATTGGTGCTCTAAAAAGAGAGTCCCTTATATATTTATATTATATATTAATAGAGAAATGATTAGTTTAGGTATCCTCTCTAGAAACATTCTTTCATTTTTAT